GATTAGCTTGAACGCGTCTTAACATACTCTCTTCTAGCACCATATTAATTATAATATTAGTTATATGATCCTTCACGAATAACTTCAAACTCTGTGTTGTATTAATTCAATGTGCAACGATTAATTTGGAGAAATTTAATTATTTTATGGTTCGAACTTATGTAAATATTTGTGTTACTTTAATATATTCTTAAAATTTCATACGAAATATGCATGTTAAAATTTTATTAATAATTGGTTGAATGTGTCTTATTTTTTTTTTTAAAAAACACACAATAATATCATCTAAAATACATAATAAAACATTGATATTTCTTTTTTTAAGATTGTTGATATTATTCCTAGTTTTATCAAGATTATCTAATAATAATTTCCCAAATTTTATGAGTTTAATTTGATTAACTTTATGTTATAAAAAGTAAACTTTTAATTTTAAAATATAAATTACAACTTTTATGTTTGCCTTTAGGGAATGAAAAAATATGTAAGGTAATTATTATATACAAAGATTATAAATTACAAAAACTTTAAGTCAAACAATCAAATGATGATGGATTGGACATTATAATACCATATATGAAAAAAAAAATGTTATGTTTGGTATATCAATTATTTCAAATTTCAGCCTATGAATCATTGTTAACTTTATTGTTAAATTGTGATAAAAATTGACAAAATTGAAAACAGTGAAAATAACCTTTATTTATTTTTTCTACTAATAATCAAATTATTTAGTGCTTTTCCACATATAAGTAAGGTACAAATATATACAAGGGATTCTCAATTATATATATAAGTAATTTAATTTCAGATAATATTTATATTTTATTCCCTTTAATTATTTAATTTAAATATAATATATCTTATTCAGATCGATAAATAAACAATTACTATCATTTTTAGTAAGAGAATAATTTTTTCGACTTCGAAAATTTCATCTTCCCTTTCATGTGAATTTTCCAACAACAAACACAAAATTTGTACCATCCAATCTATTCCATCCCTTACCCTTTTCATTCTTTTTTTAATTTTATTTACTAAATATTTGATATTTATGAGAATTAATCGAGTGAACGCAAAGAAGCAAATCAGATTAGACAAAAAGAACTTCGAGTAAACAAAGTAAAGGCCCATCTGACCGATCTCAAGTTGGATGAGAAGGCAAACCAACCCTCCGAAGAAGAAAACTATGACTATTTAGACGGTTAGTGACCAAATGACATATTCTAGTTATAATATTCCTTTCAATCAATTCATTGAATAACTCACGAGTAAATTATTAAAATAATATAATCGTGACAAATATTGATTAATATAATTATGTTCTAGTTCACCGTAATTTTTAATTCAAGACTTATATTATTTGATGATATATATATATATATATATATATATAAATACTTGATATTTATGAAAACTAATCCATTCTAGTCACAATATTTAATTCATAAGTAACTGTAAATTATTAAACTAATATAATCGCGATAAACATTAGTCAATATAATTATGTTCTAGTTCATTATAAGTTTTTATTGAAAGACTTATATTATCATTTCACATGAGAAAGAGAAAATTGTAATATATTTTAAAAATATATTCTATTTGATTATTCCTTTAGGAGGGGGAAAAGGGGAGGGAAATGCATAAAGTAGTAGAATGTATTTTTATATTCTAAAGTTAAATTAGAAATATATTTTAAAATTCACCAAAACTTTTAGATTTAATAAAAATATAACCCTTAATTTTTATGTCCACTTGGCTTCTTCTTTTTTTCACAATATAATAATTTCCTCCTATTTGAATAAAAACTTCTAAAGTTTTTATTTTATTATTTATCCGATATTCATAATCCAACAAATTAAAATTTGCTTTAAGAAATTCATCTTTGAGGAGAAAATTAATGTTTTTAACTAAGGATTTCATCTTGAGGAGAAAATTAATATTTTCAATTAAAGTCGAATTGATTGTTCAAACTCAAAAATACATATCATATGATTTTAGTGTATACAATGCTAAATTCAAATAACATGAGAAATGAACATAATAATTTAATTATTGAAATTAAACTAAGATGAAAAATTAACTAGGTACAACAAAAAGAGAATTTTTTTAAACAATATTAAAGTAATTTGCCTATCATTTGATGTGATAGTTGTAGTTCTCATTTCAACATCTAGTGTATCATTTTCAATTGCTTTTTATGTATTATAAAGTGAAGGATTGTGGGGTTTATAACCAATAAATATTGCTCATGAGCTAGAACATTTTAATTTAATATTTTCCAATACTTTAACAAATTTATGGTGCCAAAATTAAATTTAAATTATAAATTATCCTTCCAAAAGGCTATGAATATCATTTTAAAGCTCCTATAACCACTAATTCATGTAACATCTAGGTCATTTACGGTAAATTATTTACCTACTCGATTAACTATTTATTATCTTTCAGTTCATTGCAAGAAAAAATTTCTTACACATAAATAGTGATGGACTTTCTTTGTGTTTATGTACAACAAGGGATACGTGCATTAAAAGAAAAATTATCATTAGCGACAATTAATTTTTTATCGCCGCTGAATATGTATTTTTAGCGGTAATTGTCAATCTTTGTATATGTTCCTAAAGCTTTTAGCGATATTGGTTCTAATGATACTTAACTGATGTCGGTAAAGACTTTAACACTCCTTATTAATGTTAATATTTAATGCCGCTAAAATTTGTTTTTATTGTAGTGGTGAAAGAGTGCAAGAAAAAATGAGAAGTGTTATATTATGTATATCGAGACAAAAAATATTCTAAATCTTCAAATATTTTCATATACAGAAGAGAGTAATTATATGTTGAAGAAACTGGATCGGAGTATATTATATCATAATGAGCTTGAATCTCCTTAAAGTGAGTGAGATATTCGCACCTCAACTTAAACATTTTTTTTTACTGTCATTTTATTTCGACTGTAATTTATTATATTTTTGATATATTACATCAACTAATAAATTGTCATTTTCAATTTGCGAAATGGAAAATTGAAAACAAACATTAAAATGATTTAAAAAAATAAAAAAATGACCATTTAAAAAAATAATCAATAACTTAATTAATAGTTATTTTAATGGCTTAAGTCATCGATAGCCACTTAAAGTTGTCCGCAAAATTCACTTAAACACCTCTTCTTAGGCTTGTTCCAATTGAACCCCCGTACTAATAAAAAAAATTACCTATCAAACACTTTATAGACAATCAGCTGAAATAAGAGAGTGTGTGTTATACACTTGCTGGTGATGTGGCATAGTAACTAATTAAAAAAAGACACGTGGTATTGGACTTAGAATAACTAAAAAAATAATAAGGAAAAATTATATATTTTTTTAGAAATAAAAGAAAAAGAAAATCACCATTACTCTTCTCCTCCTTTCTCCATAACCTTCCCCAAATACACCATAGACTACCATTTTTAAATCTTACTCTTATCCTCAAACTTCATTTAGATTTATTGATGTTCTTTTTTCTTCTTGTGTTGTCAGTTCTTTAAAATTTAAATAAATTAACAATTTCAAAGAATAATTTCAAATTCATATTATTCTTGCCCCAAAAAATGGAGTTTGCCGGAAATAATGAACACTAAAGTAAAGTAAAAAGATGATTGATCACTAATTGCTCGTTATTTTAATTTTTTTTAATCTTTATTTAATGAAATTTGCTTAACATTCCATTTCAAAGGAAAGGAATCTCTGTTTCATCTTCTTCCTTTTTTTGTTTTTCTTTTGTTTTAAGATTTTTATTTAATTTATGTTTGGGTTTAATTTTGACAAGATAGATGAACAAGGTTAGATACTTTTGATGGCAGCAGAGATAACATTTTTTACGGCTGAAAAACTTACGATGGATAATTTGAATGTGTAGTTGGTTGTTTGAAAGGCTAAGGTTGTTTGACAATGGTAGACTTGTGGATGATAGCAACCGATTTAATAAACTGGTGTATTGGAAAAAGAGAATGGCTGAAAATCGAAAAAGAAGGAGAAAGAATTATGAGTGGTGATGGTTGCAGAATTATGAGTGGTGATGGTTGCAGCTTGCCATGGAAAAATGGTGATGAGCTTTCTCAAAGAAGAAGAAGATATAAAATCTTTTTTTTTACTGAAAAGTTATGCTTTCACGCTCCTTTCTTTGTGTGTACTACAAACGCTTTGCCATGTCAGCAAAAAGGGTATAATAGGTAAAAAATTTTGTTGTCTAGGTGTTCAATTGGAACAAGCCTAAGAAGAGGTGTCTAAATGAAATTTGCGGACAACTTTAAGTGGCTATCGATGACTTAAACCTATTTTAATTTTTATCATCATAATTAGTCATCAAATTATCTTATCATAAGTATTAGGTTCATCACACAATGGGAGTTGTGTAGTAAAAAGGGCTAAGCACATATTTAAGCAAGTCATGGTAAACCACCGTCGGACGGTGGAGCTTTACACCGGATTTTCCTCCGGGAAGTCGGTAGCAATATTACAAATACGATCAGATAAAGACGTCAATTTTACAAAGCTATTTTATAACTTAATTATTTTTCGATGAAAAATTTGATCAACAATTAAATAAAAAATTTCAACTTTTCATCGTCACTTTCGTAATATTACAACACTTTCTTCTCTCATCTAAACATGTCGAGAATATCATGCTACCTGCACAAGATTCGAGTTAAAGTCGATAAGTATATAATAAATGTAATCTTATATGTTCAATAATAGATCGAATTTATAAATAAGTTATTATCTGCCGTTATTCAAAGCATTTAGGGGATTGGTCGTTCGACTAAAAATATTTATAATATACATATATTATATATTTACCGATAATTTTTTGAGTAAATAACTATTTATATCAATCATTAATACAAATATTTTAAATAAAAATCATTTAATTTAATAATATAATATTTTTTATGAGATTATATCGACTCTAAATCACAAAATTTGAACGTATATTACTCATCCACGAAGTAGAGAGGTTTTGTAGTAATTTGGAAATCAATTGTTTCTTCTACGGAATTCTTTATCATGACTACGACGGCGGCGCAGCTTCCTGAAAACCCTATCAAAACCCTAGTTCAGTCACCGGATCCAAATCCGACCGCCGTTTCTGAAGCTCCGGCTCATGATTCCGCAACTGACTCATTGAAATCGCCAACGTCTGATGGAGTTAAGGACCAAGCGAAGTTGGATAAGGCGGCGGATGGAGGCGGCGGCGGCGGCGGTGGTAAGGATACTGATATACAGAAAAAGATGAAGCGAGCAGAGAGGTTTGGAATGACGGTTCAGCTTTCGGAAGAGGAGAAGCGAAACACTCGAGCTGAGAGGTACTTTTTGTAGTTAAATTTTGTTGCTGGATTTGGTATGTGTGTTTAAAACGAATAGTATTACTTCAGAAAAGAGAAACTCTTTACCTTTGTCGGAATCTGGAGCAAATATAGATGATTCGTTTTAGTTTGAGTAGGAGGTTGCAGGTATACTGTGTAATTAGTCTAAGGTGCGTGCAAGCTGGTTCGGGCAGACCACTGGCATGAACATAGTGTGTTGAGTTTGTGTAGCTGATTCATGCTTGTTTGGGATTGAGGCATAGTTGATTGGTTGCTCAAGGTTGAATTCGAGTCTGAGAGGGCACATTAGCTGAACTCTTTGTTTAGGTTCCTAGACATCTGAGGGGTAGTTGACTGGGTTGGTAAGGTTTAGTGCTTTGTTCTGGTTGTGTACTTGTGTTCACTTCGACAATTTGTTAGGCAAAGTAGCTGAACACTATGTTTAGGTTCCTAGACGGTGGTGTTGCACATATCCTTTGCTTTACATTTACAACCATAGAAACAATTATTTAAAGCTATCATCTTTTAAAGTGCTGGTGGATTTTGTGTGTGTCATAATAAAGAAGTAGCAGTCCTGATTTTAAATGAAATACAAGAGATTAACTACTTAATCGTTCCATAAAGGGGTCACACCGTCACACTCCAAACAGCACCAGAACTTGTACTGGGAAGGTAGTTCCAATTGCCCTTTGTTTTTCTTGTCTAGTGAGGTATATTAAGCTGAAATGGATGCGTGTCACCCGAGCAGAATGGACTAAAGCATCTAAACGTGCATTCCCTTCATTTGTTAGTAGAGGCTTGAAAGTTGAGAGGCTGAGAGGCTTAATAATATCTTTTGGATTTATGGTTCCTTTATATAGAATATTGTTGGAATTCAAAAAAATTCCAGCATGGGAATCCTTAGACTTTTCATCTTTCTTTCCAGCTTCCATACAGTTGATCTTCAAGCCTTTATAGTCCAGCAAACATATCTTGTGTTTGTTGTGAAATGGGATACCCAATAGCCGGCCGCAAACATTTAACTCATATGAGGATCTATCTTAAGTTGTTCTTACCCCCTTTGTTGGACTGTTTTGTGTCAGGTTTGGCACGTCTGCACCTCAGGGTTCAGATGCTTCAAAGAAAGCTGAAGAGCAGAAGAGGAAAGCTAGGGCTGAGAGGTATGTGTACTATCTATTTGGGCTACTGCCAGCTGGGTAGTTTACTTGTTTATGTGTTTGTTGATAGATTTGGTTCTGTCAGGTTTGGGCTTAGCCAATCTGATAGTACTGATGAGGATGCTAAGAAGAAAGCTAGGCTGGCAAGGTTCGCACCTCCTGCGAAGGCTGATCCTGTGGAGGAAGATAAAAGGAAAGCTAGGGCCCTCAGGTTACAATGAGACCTTTTCACCTTTTTCTTTATGTCAGCTGAGGGTCTAAAATATTTCGGCGTCGAATTGGTATATGACTTTGGCTGATGGTGTTATTCGACAGGTTTTCACAGTCCAAGTCTGGTTCCCAATCACAAGAGAACGGCAAAGAAAAAACTGAGCAGGTTTCATTTCTAAGTGAAATTTGTGATTTGGAATGAATTTGAAAAACGTAGCAGTCAGTATGTGTTTGCTTTGAATTTTGATGTGATCATACGTGCACTATCCGTGTGTTGAGCGTACTTTTACTAGTACAACTTTCTATTAACTATTGCATGTACTTTAACACAGGAGACTGTTGCGGTGGAGAAGGCTGGAGGAGGAACATGAACCATTCTCAAACTTCGTTCAACAGCAAGAGTTACTTAAGATGTATAGTTTATTGTTGCTGCGGAATGGTTAGGAGTTCTGTTAAGAGTGACTTTAAATTCCCAAAGTTTTTGTTTTAGTCGTTTTTGGAGTTCCTTGTTTAGTTTGGTAGGTTAGAAGTCTTAACATTAGCAAGTTCCCTAGTAGCAGGTCCATCCTTCAAAATGGGGAAAATGGCTTTTGTCGTCTCTTAGGTTAGCCAGTAGTGCTGGGATACATGGACCACAACCTCCTTAGTGTGTTATTCTGTCAGAAGTGACGACCCATAACCAATATTTGAAATCAACTTCTTTTAAAAAAACTTATCTGAAACGATTAAACTACAACCTCAATATTTCCTACTTGAAACCTTTGTTTTTGACAACTTCATCATCGGGCTTTCCTTTATCAATCTGCAACTGTTCTTTCTCATTCTTGTGGTTTTTCATTTCACCTAAATGAGAAAATGGTGCATATCAAGGATCTACTGGTGATAGCATTTCTGATTTCTCCAAGTGCTCAATGTAGTACCACAGATACTTGATTAGATGTCCACTCTTGTGATCTGGATGGTCCTTCATGACTTGTCGGTAGAAAGTTAAAAGTTTTTGCTAATCTAGAAAATAAGTAGTCACCCTTTATGACATACTGGAGGCATCATATATTAATTCTAGTTTGGTCAGATTGTTAGTGATATTCTTAGTTGGCCTTGCAAGTAGGAAAGGTAAGACTAGTTTTTATTGCATCGAGGGCCTTAAATTTTGTTCAAGAAGAACCACTTGATTGTGCTACATCTTTGCAGAGTTTTGAATTCAGAGAAGGTTTTACTGTAACATCGCTGCCCGTATGATGATGAAGTTATCAAATCCATATTTCTATAACATTTAAGCTGGTGTGCTTGGGTTTTGTTTATCTACAAGGTTAGTGTTTCAGTTTTTGATGTCGTGGGTCATATGCAACAGATTTAACACTAAGGAGGTGTGGTCAAGTATCTTGGTATTTGGGTGAATCGTGTAGGCTGTAGTCAATAGATGTCGGAGTTAGTATAGTCTCTTGCTATTTTGTTCTTGAAGTTCAGTAGCAAGTGGTTGTATTTCGGTTACTTGAATTGTAAAGACAGTAAATTTGTTGGTGACAATCTGATATTTGCACTCATACTAACGTTCATTATGCTTGTGGTGACTTCTTTTATTTACATCTATATGAATTTTCACGCCCAGATTTGAGGTTTTTGTTTGTTTTCTAAAAGTGAAGTATTGGAAAACATATTTTGGACAAAAATAGTGTGTACATTGTCTACATTTATTTTACAAATTATTATAGAGAACTTGTCTGTACAGTTTGTGTTTTAATTTCAATCGTTGAATTTGAAACCCTGAACGAAATTATTCACGATATGATAAGAGGACTGCGAAATTTGAGTCAAGTTCGTACTTGTCACACAACAGTTTTTAGTATTTACAAATTTGTAACCTGCAGAACATAACTTAGGTAGGTATTCTTCTTCCTTCTAATGGTTGTTCCATTTCTTTTGCTGTTCTCACAAAGTATCTCGTGTACATCTTTATACGTTGCCTGGTAACACGAGACTGTTGTGCACGTTACGTTGTTCAGCAAGGAATGATGAATTGATAATCGAGGAAATATAAGAACACATAAAAAGTAGATTACAACCCTAAAGAAACTGGAGAAAAGAAGCAAAGAGATTCGAGGCCTCCAAAAGACGAGCTCTCTTTCTTCTCTGTTTAAAGTCTTGGGATCTATCGTTTGGGAGAAGCAGGCATACCGCCTCCTCTAATGGAAAGTATCGGAACGTGAGAGGAGCTTCGATTCATGGAATAACAATCCAGAAACACAACAACAACCGAGATATCATCGTGGAAATGCCTCCTTACACCTCGTTCGATCTTTTTCAGGTCTGAATACCTCATCTCTCTTTTCTTAGCTGCTACTCGGAGAGCAGCTTTGATTAATCTCTGGGCAATACCCTGGTCACAAGAGAGAAAAAAGCACAAGATTTACTAAAACTTCATCGAAGAATTACCTTATCCTAAGTCAGAGGTGGAGAGGCTGTATCCAATAGACCCTCGACTCAAGATTCTTTAGATAGTTAACATACTTAGTGTAGTCTCAACAAAGTGGGATCTTGGGAGGGTAAAATGTACACAGACCTTACCCCTACCATTAGAGGTAGAGGGGTTGTTTCCGATAGACCCTTCGTACATAGTTATATAAAAGACGATTCATATTATCAGAGATTGAATGCTTACGTTTCGAGGTTGACTGTGGACTATATCAACAGCCTCCTGGTTGCTAAGATGTTCCCAGAGACCATCTGAACCAAATATGAGGAACTGATCTTTGGAAGTCAATCTATGAATGAAAATTGATGGTTCCGCGCTGAGGATCGGCTTAGAGAAGGATTCGGGCAATCTAAACTTGGGCAGCAGGGGTGCCTGATTGAACTCTGCCCTCTTAAGATAGGCATCACCAATTGACCTCGAAACCTATAGAGAGGATAACAAACGAACATCAACTCGTATGTCACACACACTTCCTTGACACCTGCAGTAGCGGCGATTTCTTCCAAACCAAGATGCATAATGCAACCACAATTAGTCTAATCTTTACAGCCTCAAATCTCAAAAAAAATTCAGGCATCAAAGCGACTTATATTACATAATAAAGAGTCGATCTCAAAGGACAACATAACTAACTTTTAGGTTTGCTTACTTGCAATATCAACTCCTAACCATAGATTTATATTATAGCAGTAACTTATATGAGGCATATTTTTGAAAAATCAACATGAGACGGCCTAAGAATGTGATAGAAACAGATAAATCACCTGTATGATACCCTTCACGCGCCAAACTTTGTGTTTGAGAAGCACAATCTGTGAATCCTGGGGATGCAATGATCTAAGCTCATCTCTCACAGACTCATTATTAGCATTGTGCTCCATTGACAATTGAATAGCAGTCACACCCCTTGCAGCTTTCTCTGCTCTACCTAACACCACACGTGAATCTCCGGCATTGGCAACATATAGTAGTCCATTGCAGATTACGCCTGCCAAACAACAAGATCCCACAGATGCAAGTTGTGGCTTCTCAAACCATTGTTGCTTCACAAGTGACAAGAACTCCTCATCCGTTTTCAAGAAAGCTTTTTTTATGACATCTGCAGACATTTCTTGATGCTCCGTTGCAAATTCTGTTTATGAAGGGATGAAGGTAAATAGATATCGTTTATACTACTCATAAACTTTCTAGAATATAAAACAGATGAATATAAGTTCCAAGGAATAATTATAAACATTTTTGGAGGATAATTAGACAGTTTCAGGGTGAATAACACACATAGTAGTAAGGTTGAAAGCACAACAGTGTTAGGAATTCAGATCACGATACTGCAAAAAGCATATGATATCTATAGATAGCATCTTCCTCGAGTGTGTCTCTACTGGATTGTTATTGCACGTATCAAAATCTTAAGTCGTTCTAATATTTCTAATAAAAGAGGAAAATACGTTTAAATCTGATGAAAGTTGTGTTTACATAACTCATAGAAGTGACAAAACCAGATCTTTATATCTTAAAAGTTTTAACGAACATGTAAAATAGACAACAAGATTGTAAGATCTTTCGTGTAATTCAAGGTGGTAGTAAAGCAATATCGTGTATAAACACTATAAGTTTGACAAAGTACCCTGAAAGTTGTGTCTATAAAGTAGAATCACAAGGCAAAATCCAGCAATATCTTAGTTGTAGACACATCAAATATTGTGGAAGGCATCATTTTAGACAGCAGGGGCCATAGCTAGATGGATGTACTTATCTGTATCGAACGTTGGCCAGAATTTTTGGGATCTTAATGTACATTGATATACCGCTTTTGTAACATTCTTGATTCATTATCAATGAAACACTGGACTTGCAACAACAATTACACATAGCACAATATGTAAATTCCAAAGATCAGATCTACCAACCTGAATCATTTTTAGTATTTACATCAAAACTTAACCAGCATTAACATTCACATCTTGAAAAAAATCAACACTTTCAAAACTACGACATCACCACGATATCAAGAATCATATTAATAATCAAATGCAATCAAAAAGGAACATGATGAGCTTACTCTTAAGATTGGAGAACAAAGTCTTGTTTACGAAACAGGACGTCTCCGGTCCTCCATGTCCATCATAAACTCCAACAAATGTTCCATAAGGACCTGATTCAAGACAACTCAATGGCCCTGATTCAAGCTGGCTCTGATCCTCCATTAAATTATTAGCTTGTATTATTGCCATTGAAAATTCACCATTTACATGAACCCCCAAATCCTTATACCACATTAAACCATCAACCCTACCCCTAGTATCCCCACCCCTCCCTACACCACCATCCCCCTCAACAGAAGGTTTCCAGCAAGGTTTAACCATTCTTTTTTTTTTTGGTATACAAATTTCAATATATCTATATATATATATCACATAAACATATATTTATCCAAGAATCTTGATAAAGTTTGAATCTTTTTACATAATTTATCCAAAAGAACCAGCAAACAATACATTCATCAAAACCCCTAACCCCAACCTCAAATCCAGTTTTTTTTTTTGCTTATATTCAAAACCCACAACCCCACAAGCATAACAAGACCAAGACACCATTAATATGTAACAAACCTGCAAATGGAAGTAAAAAAAACCAAAAGGGTATGGGCTAAACTTTTGTCCCCAAAAACAAGAAAACAATAGTTTTTATTTGGAGTTCAGAGAATATGGTGACAGTGGGTGTTCTTTGCATACCTTGAACCTGGTTTCTTGGTGGACCTTAAACATAAATATTATTGTATCAAATTTCAACTACAAGCTTAGCTGTGAAAACCCATTAAAGATTGATGGTGACAGAGTTTGTTCCTTCATCAGAGGGATCAAACAGGGAATGGATAACAAAAAATAAAAATTGGGTTTTTTTTTTGGAACTTTTTGATCAGAGGATCTTTAGGAAGGGTGTCAGAGAGAGATCTCAGATTATGATGATATACAAAGACAAAATTTTTAGGGCAAGAAATTTTTTTTATATAGTTTCTTTGCTATCATTTTTTTTTAGTAAATATATTTTTTAAATACACTCCTATTTTCTCTCATTTATTGCCTTTCTAGGCCTTTCTTTTTCTTTTTTCTTAAAAAAATCAATCTAATAATAAGTATTGTATGGCTTGTTTGTTATTGTATTTGCTATAAATATGTTTTATTTGAGTTGAGTATTGCATTATTTAGGATTATTTAATATCGAATTGAAATCGATAACTCGAATCAGAAATAGTTATTGGCTTATTGATTTCGTGGTTTTGATTTTTTTTTTTGTTATTGGTTCTTAGTGGTTTGAGTTTTTTTTTATAATGGGTTAATTGATAATCCGATAGTAAATTAAATAATTATATTTATGTCATTTTGTATATAAGTTTCTTGACTTAGAGTTTAGTTTTCTATTTTATTTTTTATCGTCTCAAAACACTTGGTATATCTACAATGTAAAAGTGTTTGTTCTGTAGCAAGATATAACTTGTGAACTCACGTACATGTTTTATTTGGTTTGTTACCTTGTTTCTAAGTGATTTTTAATATTTTTGTTGTGTCAAATCTTAACGGTCAAATCAATATATAACCGAATTGATAACGATAAAAAATTGATAAGTCAATACCTTAATATTTTTGTAACGGTTCATCTATTCAAACCGATAAATTTTAAAATTGAACTGAATCAACCAACTATATTACCATAAAATGGAGATAAGATTACATATACAATATTTTTTTTTATCTTATTTATAAGATTATACTGAATATGAATTGTTTGTTGACAATTTTTATTTTGTTTATCTTTTCCAAATATTTTTATAGCAAAGCCCCCCTCCTATATTTTCTCATTTATTCTCTTTCAAAGGTCCTAATTGTGGTCATGTTGCTTTCTAGGTCTTTCTATTTTGAAAAAAATAATTTAAAAAATCAAGAACTCCATACAATCAATATATATATATATAAATGAGGATCTTCATTCCGCCTATGTGGCATGCCTCAATGACCAGAAAAATATTTTCTATTTTTTTAAAAAAAATATGACTTTTTAAATTATTTCTTACACAATAATTTTATGTGTATATATA